GTCTTCTTAAACAGAACAACTGCCAGCCTAAAATTTTGCATCCTGCAAAACTAAGTTTCATATATGAAGGAGAAATAAAGACTTGTCCAGAGAAGCACTGAGGGAATTTGTCAAGACCAGACCTGCCCTGCAGGAAATACTCAGAACTGCATTATACATGGATGAGCACAATAGACACCCATCAGTGTAAAACTACCCAAAAGCTAAAGCTCAGAGTTCATATAAAGCAATAACACAAGAGGTAAAACAAAGCAGTAAGTTACAACCCAACAGGATGAACAGAACAGCATGTCACATATCAATTCTATCAATCAACGTGAATGGTCTGAATGTCCCACTCAAGAGACACAGGCTGGCTGAATGGATGAAAAAATACAACCCAAGTATCTTCTGTCTCCAGGAAACACATCTAATCCACAAGGACTCATACAGACTCAAGATGAAGGGATGGAAAAAAATATTCCATGCAAATAGAAACCAAAAGAAAGCAGGTATAGCCATTCTCATAGGAGATAAAATTAATGTTAAATCAATAACAGCAAAGAGAGACAAAGATGGTCATTATATAAAGATAAAGGGAGAAATTCAACAAGAAGGCATAACAATCCTAAATATTTATGCACCTAACACAGGAGTGCCCAGATTCATAAAGCAAAACCTACCAGATCAAAGCAAAAAGATAAACAGCAGCATCATAATTGCTGGGGACTCAACACCCCACTAACAGAACTGGACAGATCATCCAAGCAGAAAATAAAGAAAGACATATTGGACTTAAATTGGACTCTATAAAAATGGGTCTAACACTCACTATCAACTATTTTACCAAAAACTACTGAATATACATTCTTCTCATCAACACATGGGACATTTCTCCAAGACAGGTAATATCTTGGGCCACAAAACATGTATCAACAAATTAAGAAAAATAGAATTATACCATGTATCTTCTCAGACCACAGTGGACTAAAACTAGAAATCAATCCAAGAGAAAAACTCAGTTCTACACAAAGTCATGGAAATTAACCTGTACTATTATAGTACAACCTCTATGGAACATGGTATGAAGATTCCTCAAAGAACTAAAAGTAGACTAGACCTGCCATTTGATCCAGCAATCCCACTCCTGGGTATTTA